GACGGTTGGTGTACTGACCTGATATAGAGGGCGATAAGAGTACACTCAAGAAATATATTGGTTGTACAAAGAGGCTAATTCAAAAAGAGATGGTATAACCGTTTAAGGCCCAAGACAAAGGATTTAGCACAAGACTTGCAGACCATTATTGGAATTTTAAAGAAAAATATAGTAAAAGTTCTAATATCAAATGGAGGATTCTACGACGAGTTCGGAAAAAAGTAAATGGTAGATGTTGCAATTTGCGTCAAGAAGAAAAACTAGCCACCGCAACTCATACTTTATGTAAGAGAATTACGTGCTAGGATAAGCTAATAGGTACTGCCAATAAGCGGGAAGTACTGCCTGATGATATCTATTATTTGTTAAAACCCCGTTTGCATCCTTATAGTTTTATATATATATATATATATATATATATATATATATATATACTAGCAGCATGGCCTGGCGTTGCCCGTGCTTGATTCAAAAATCGTACGACTCATACAGCAATCGCTATCATTTGACATAAAATATTTTTGCCCTTCCTTGCCTTTAAAAGAGTGCCCTTTGCCGTACTGATGTTGCTACATGCCTTACTTCTCAAACTGCGGATTTTTTCTAAGCATTAAATCTGTTACGAAAAAAGAACTGAACAAAATGAACACAAAACGATCAGCTTTAAAAAAGGACTTGTAACTGGAAAAACCGAATGAAAAAAAAATGTTAACATTAAATACTTTTTCACAATCAATCCAGTTCTGCGGAATCAGAATCAACGTTGAGTTTAAGCAAGCGAATGAGCCAATTGGAGTAAAGTGTCATGCAGATTTAAATTTTTCCCACTTCTGACGAATGCAGCTATCGATTTTTTTTTCTTGTATGCTAGCATGCTAGTTAACATTCGTGTGAGTCAGCTGTTGGCTCTCACGCTGGCCAATAGAATATTCCTGCCTATTTGTGGCAGCCAGCTATAGGCTCTCACTCTGGCCAGTAAAAACTGGCCGCAAACTACTTGAAAAGTGTCGTAGAAGCATGAAAAATCGATTATTTCCACTATCGATGGGAGTTGGGAAATGCAATGTCGGTGTTGGCCTTTCTACTAACTTGGAGCATGTGCATGTAAATTTTGCTGCAAATCCGTCGAAAATTGCGGCCGTGCATTCGTTACACACACACACACAGATCCTGCCTTTTATAGATAGAGATATATGCGAATGATAAAAAAACACATTTATATATATCAGTTTTAAGGTATGCTATATTTATGGGTAACAGTGCTTAATATAAGGGTTAGTATATATGTAAATGTGGACACTGAGGTCAACACCAAGTGGCAGCAGTTTTTTTTTTTTCTTGCTTGAACGTAATCTGAAGGCTGTGTGCTGTGTGGTGACTCGAGTATTTCATTATAGTCAGTGGTGTATCATGTGTACCAATATCAGATATTTCTGGTTTATTGTATAATCCTAATCGGTAGCATCTGTTGTATTTCAAATTATTCTAAAGACCATTGAGTAGAAATGATTGTGTCAGAATGCCATTATTTGTCGCTATTGTACGAATATAGTTTTATTAACGTTTGACTCATTATTTTTCTATTGATTTCTTAGGCTATTTTGTTTTTATTCATTACTTATTGTTACTTACTATTATTAAATTTTCTTAGTTTTCAGTATGCAGTTTGTTAATTAGTTTATTGTTTTTCTTTGGGGTTGGTTATCTTATTTGTTTTGTTATATTGGTTTTGTTTAAAGTATTTTACATTGTATCCATTGTATATAGTGGATATATTTGTAGTTTTCTTGGTGATGTTTTACAATGTATTCATTTTTAGTTTTCGATTTTTAAGTAACAGTAAAAATTTGTTTTCGTGCCTGCATTTTGAGATTGTCCATTTAGTAATTCTTGCTGGTCTGGGAAGATTATTATAACTATTTCGTCACCCAGATAATATTTTCAGATTTTGGATTTATTGTTGTAAGTTTTCCTTATTTTCCATGATATTTTTGGTATATTTTTCTATTTTTTTTGTTACATATTTAAAAAAAAGTTTGTGTTGTTCGTGTATTTAGTATTCTTAAAATATGTTTTATGTGCGTAGTTTCTGTGTATCCACTTTTTTGTTATCTGCTGATTTTACAGTGGCTTAGTATATTATAATTGTTTGCAAGCAATTGCAGTTTAAGGGACATTCGTGCTTTGCGCTGCAGTTACTGGTGGATTTGGATTGCGCCGGTGATATGTTGGTTAGTTTTCTGTTGTTCATATTTATTATTTGTGGATATGTAGATGGCACCTCCATATCCATACTCTGGCCACACCAGGAAGATGTTCAGGTTCTACTAGACCATGTGAACTCAATAAGAACTTTGATACAATTCACGATGGAGAAAGAGAGTAACAACACACTCCCATTCCTGGATGTTCTAATATCTCGAAAAGAGTATGGGCTCAAGTCATCCGTATACAGCAAACCGACATTCACCGGAGAGTACCTCAATTTCAACTCCCACCATCCATACAGCTTAAAGACAACACCGAGCAAAAGTCATAAGTGGCGACCCAGAGACATTAGATAAAAAAATGGTCAGTATAAGCAGTACCCTACAACGTAACAACTACCCTGGGTTACATGGCAGCTACCCCACTAAACTGGAATAGGCGGGTACAAGAGGAGGACAACAACACTCAGAAAACAGTCTGCCTGCCTGATGTGAAGGAGTTATCAGAGAAAATACAAAGAATTTGCGGTCTATATAACATCATGACAACCTTCAGAAGCTGGACGACACTTCGCAGATACCTCTCCCTAGTAAGATCCCCCCATAAAGGAGAACATAACTAAAGACCGTGTGTACGCCTTCCCGTGCAGCTGCTGAAAGAAATATAAAGGGGGGACAGGCCGCCCCATTAAGGTAAGGCTTCAAGAACACCAGAAATCTATAACACGAGAGGAAGTGGACCACATATGGAGAGAAAAGAGGGATCACCGCCCGCTGTGGGATCAGGTTGAAATCATGGACATAGAACATATTTGGAAAATTCGTAAACTTAAGGAATCAGCACATATGCTATGCCCCAAAAATCTCCTGGTCCGACAAAGCATAAAAATGAATACAATATAGGAACCAGTAATAAGGAGTGCTAGAGAAAAGCAATAATAAAAACGAAAATTGCAATATGAGCTCTGGTAAAAATGTTTGCTGAAGACATTAGGTTTATAAATCCCAAAAATTCATACACAGATGTCCTCAAGGTCACGTGGCACATAAAGGCGTTAGTTGGATCCAGTGACAGGACCCAAAGAGTGTGAGTTCAATACCTGGTTAAGGCGGTGGAGAACTTGGAGAGGGGAATTAACAGGAGATAACTGATAACTGACATCCATTAAACATGGCATGTGGAGCTAGAACAGTCTACTCTAGCGAGCGAAATAAAGGGTTCAGTTCGACATTCCATCCACCTGAAGAAGGCCGGAGCGTACGACGGCCGAAACGTTATGATAAATATGGCAATAAAAATGAGGGCGATAGTCCGAACAATGTAAACAGTGTACATAATACCTCATCTCAGAAATATAGACAGATAACGGTTTTATTAATCTTGAGTTTTTGTTTTTTAATTTTGTCTCTAACTGCACCATTTTGCATATACAATTTAAAGTTATATTTTTTGACTGCAGTATACACAGCTTACAAAAAAAAATAAACACATGTTATTTTGATTTTTAAACGAGCATAAAAATTATTTGCACTGGCAAACACATTAAACTGAAATACAATGTGTAAATATAAGGGTTCACTTACATTTGCCCATCTTAAAGATAAAGATCTCTGAATGTGGTTGTAATTCATTTAATAAAGTTTTTCCTTGATGAATTAATAATTTAATAAAGATTTCTTGATTATCTGGAAGAAAAGAGACACTATTTCTAATATTTTAGTGGTTCACTTACTTTTGCGCATGTCTCTCTCTCTCTCTCTCTCTCTCTCTCTCTCCAAGTCTCTCTCTTCTGTCTATATATATATATATATATATATATATATATATATATATATATATATATATATATATTATTATAAAACTTATTTTAATGGGCACAGCTCTTTGAATCCCTGTTTTTTTTTTTTATTTTCTTAGTGAAATTAATTTGAGTAATCCTAAGAAAAATGTACCTTACGGTGAACTCTTTGCTCAAAAGAAAAGAATACAGTTTAGTTTCTTGCTGAGAGATATATATATATATATATATATATATATATATATATATATATATCACACACACGCACACACACATATGTACGTGTGTACGTCTACTTGCACACAAAAATGTAACAGTTTTTTTTTTCTGTCCATCAACCTTTTACATGTTATAAGAAAACCTGCGAGATTGTAAATTTTTTTTCCAATGATTTACTGATATATATATATATATATATATATATATATATATATATATATATATTATAAATTAATTGATTTACAATATGGTTTTTTTCCCACACAGTTCTAAACATGTTTCAAAAATGGAAGCTAAAAGCCCCGAATTTAATTTTGTAATTAAATTAAAGACATTAGTTCCATTTCATCCTCAAGCGAATTTTGTAGTAACTTTTAAAATTACTGGGTTTTAAAAGTTACTCCAAATGTCTTTAATTTAATTACAAAATTCGGGGCTTTTAGCTTCCATTTTTGAAACATGGTTAGAACTGTGTAGCGAAAAAAAACATATTTTAAATCAATTAATCTATAATATTAATGCTCTGTAAATTTACATTGAGCACTATTTTGTAAAAATAAAAATATCTATAAGAACACCGGATTATATATCTTACTGTTCTTTCTTTTTCTTTATATATATATAATCCCATAGGAACGAGGAGAGTACGTGGATTCATTCCTTTCCCGAGAGTATTGACACATAAGTGAAAATAACGAAACCGACTGAAATTGGGACACGAATTTCCGATCTCCAATTCCTGGACGTTACCCATTATACCACTCGAATATCTAGGCTTACAGTACCTGGTTTTCCCAAACTGTCACCCATGTATGTACTAGCCAGGCTCGACGTCGCTTAACTTCGGTGAATCTTACGGGAACCGATGTCTCAGCGTGATACTGGCGTAAGCTCTCTGGTACCTATGGTTTATGCATGTATGTTTGTGTGTATGTGATAAGTGCGAATGTGTTTGTTCTACGAGGTGTACGTGTGTGTAGTTTATCTACGATTTACGTCGCTGCGCGTGTGGGTGAATTTTGTGCTTGTGCATGTTCGTGTGTGCATATATGTATGTAAAACCCAGCTTGCACATCCGCTGCTACAAAAGTGTGTGTCTCATTCACATGAACTAAAGAATCCACTTGGCTGCCGCTACTGTTTCAGTTCCTAGGTGCAAATCCAAATCATCATGAGTAACAGCAGCAGCAGTTCTATATGTTGAGGCGACGAGCAGAAGAGGAAACTCAAGCAAAATGGAGAGGGGAGAAAGAGAGAGAGAGGGGGGGAAGAGAAAGAGGGGTGTGCTCGGCGGATCCAATAAAAACGTTGCATTATATTCAGCCTATTATATGTGAAGTTAATGTTGATAATTCCAGTGATGTCCGTGATGATTGCCGTCAGCCTAAATCAGTGTCTCCTTTCACTAGTTTTTTATTAGAATTTTTTAAAGCTTTCTCATCCTCTCGGTGTCTGTGTCGACCTATTATAATGGTATCTGCTCTGAAAGAAGACTATGTTACTACTAATACTACTAATGCTACTATTACTTTTACTTTCGTAACCAATGCTATCATTGTAATCGCAGCTGCTACTCTTGCTGCTGATGATTTTCAGTTTGGTGTTGCGAATGCTGCTGATGTTACAATTGTTCAGTCTTCCTGACATCGAAGCTGACATTCACTCTCACTCTCTCACGCTCGCTCTCTGCCACTCTCTCTCTCTCTCTCTCTCTCTCTCTATCTCTCTCTCTCTCTCTCTCGCTCTCTCTCCCTCCACCTGTCTCTATCTCTTTCCACCGTTGTTCTTGTTCACCTAAATGATCAAATAAAATGAAGAAATCAAAAAAAAAAAATCTTCTTCCATGTACCGTGTCCCTTCAGGACGTTGGCGATCATGGCTCTCCACAATGTGCTCTCCTTTGTAGATCTTAATACCTTTTCTCTTTTTCTTCGTTATCTCGCCTAAGCCTTGTCCGCCATCTATTTACTCGATCTCGCTAGGTAAGCTGTATGCTGTTTTCCTCTGTCCCTCTTACAATCTCTCTTGTAGGTATCAAATTTTCCAACCCTTCTTTTCTCCTTATGCGCCCTAGATATTTCACGTTTCTGTTCCTGATGCGAAGTATAAGTTTTTGGGGTTTTTTTTTCACTAGAACCTCGTTGTTCCTAGCATATTCAGTCCATGGTAATCTCACCATCCTTCTCTAGAACCACATATCTGTTGCGTAAAGTCTCTTCTTCATCTGCGAGGAGATTGTCCGTCATTCACTGTCATATAGAAGAACTGATATCACGTTCAGTACTCTTTTCTGCACGTCCAACAATTTTTTTAGAAGGCATCTTTCGCTATCCTAAGGCGCCTTTGGATTTCGATGTCGCAATTTCCGCTGTCTGTTAAATTTTAGTACTTGTTTGATGTTGGTATCTCCATTAAGAGTAAGGCGGTTTAAGTGAGAGAAAATTAAAAAAAACGAGTTTAATGCGCACATGTTAACACTAACATCCCTTAATGCGCACTAACATCTCTTAATGCGCACAAATTAATATTAACATCCCTTGGTCTTTTCTACAAATATTTCCATGGCATCAGCTCTGACGAGCTTTTTTTTACTTGGTCCCCTGACTACGGGAATTTAAACGTGCTACTAGATTGTCACCTAGGTCTCACCTATATACTCTTGAAATAGCTAAATGCAACCGCCAATTCTACTCCAATAGTTTTCCTTGCTCGTACTTTCCCACCTGTGCAACTCCCCCACCCCGTTTAATTGCTTCCCTGATAAATACAATCTGCAGAAACTTAAATGCAACGTCAGTCGACATCTTCTATCTTCTTGAATCTCGCTCATCTTTTGTCCTCTCCTCAATTCTCCTTATACCTAGTATTCACTTTCACTTTCAGTCTCTGTAAAGCCCTTGCATCTTAGTGCCATTATCACCTTGCTTGGGGTGAAATGATTAAAAATATCCAATAGTCTACAAACCAAACATCACCATCTTTATGAACGGGATTGATCGGATCGTACAATTATTAGAACTCCATTTAAAAAAAAAAACAAATTGAAAAAGTAACACCACACATAAACAGCAAAATGCTTTATTTAATTTCCCCCAAACTCCTAATTTTCTTCTTATCGCATGAATCTAAGATTATATTAAGATTATCTGTGAAATAAATCTCCCTAATATATATATATATATATATATATATATGTGTGTGTGTGTGTGTGTATGTGTGTGTGTGTGTGTGTGTGTGTGTGTGTGTGTGTGTGTGTGTGTGGATAGATAGGTACA